CATGCCCAGCTAATTTTTTGTATTTTTAGTAGAGACGGGGTTTCACCATGTTGACCAGGATGGTCTCGATCTCTTGACCTCGTGATCCACCTGCCTCAGCCTCCCAAAGTGCTGGGGTTACAGGCTTGAGCCACCACACCCGGCTGAAGGCAAATTTTTATGCTTTGAATTCTCTCCCCTCAGTAACCTTTTAATGAGTTGATTTCCTATATTGTCAACTTCTCCCATGGCCTATAAAAGACTTCATCCTACTACAGGTTTGTGCTGTCTGTGCCTCCACCTCTAGCCCTCTTATCCCTCTCTGCCTAGCTTATGAAGCTCTTCAACCCAGCAATTTGACTTCTGCCATCACTGCTCTTAAATTTTCTCTCAAGAGGCACCAAATGCCAGATACAGCGGATACTTTACAGTTATTTTCCTGATTACATCTCCTTCCTTCTTGAAATTTCTTTATTCTTCTGGCTTCTCTCATCCCTATTTTAATCCACTCTTGGTTTTGATTACTGTCTACATGGAATACATTACTTCTCTCAAATATCTGGCTCCTATTCCAACTTCTGTTTCACTTTGGATTTTTATAGCCAGTTGTCTTTGGGATACCTGGTTTGTTTGAAACAACTCTGGTTATACTCTACTACCTACTTTTGCCACATGCATTCCTTTATGTTGAAATGGCATCATCCAGCAATTTCTTCTATTCCTTGACTTTCCATACCTGATGATCATACCTGAATAGTCATTTCTCTTTTCAAGCCATGTATCAGAAGTCTTGTTGTTTAAGGAAATGCTAGGCTGGGCGCAATGGCTCACTCCTGTAATCCCAGAACTTTGGGAGGCTGAGGTGGGTGGGTCGCCTGAGGTCAGGAGTTTGAGAACAGCCTAGCCAACGTGGTGAAACCTTGTCTCTACTAAAAGTACAAAAATTAGCCGGGTGAGGTGACAGGCATCTGTAATCCCAGCTACTCGGGAGGTTGAGGCAGGAGAATCACAGGAAGGTAGCAGTGAGCCAAGATTGCGCCATTGCACACCAGCCTGGGTGATAAGAGTGAAATTCTGTCTCAAAAAAAAATTTTTTTTTTAAATCTATAGATTTTTAAGGTTCTAAACTATGTATATTTAAGTGATTGAGGCACTATATTCCACTATAGTGCTGAGCAAGTAGTTATTTTTGCACATTAAGAAGCGGAACCTGGGCTAGATGCAGTGGCTCATGCCTGTAATCCCAGCACTTTGGGAGGCCAAGGCAGGCAGATCACCTGAGGTCGGGAGTTCGAGACCAGCCTGACCAACATGGAGAAACCCTGTCTCTACTAAAAATACAAAATTAGTCAGCCGTGGTGGCGCATGCCTGTAATCCCAGCTACTTGGGAGGCTGAGGCAGGAGAATCACTTGAACCCAGGAGGCGGAAGTTGCGGTGAGCTGAGATTGTGCCATTGCACTCCAGTCTGGGTAACAAGAACAAAACTCCATCTCAAAAAGACAACAAAAAAGTGGATCCCTAGTTTAATTCTAAAAATTACTATGTAAAGCGTACTGTTACTTTCAGTCAAATAAATTTACATTAAGGTAATTCCATAAACTATGGCCGAGTCCATTTTTCCTTCAGTGGCCCTAGTCAATCTTAAATTTTTTCCAAAACTCTTGGGTTTTACAATTAGAGGTTCAGTTAATCATTAAAAACCTTAGCGTTATTAGCATGTAGGTAGCTTTATATTACTTGTACCAACAAAACTTAATTTTTGACAGACCTCTAATAACCTCACTTTTCTGTTTTGGAAGATAAAAGCCATCGGTCAGACAGAGTTGAATGCAAGCAATCCAGAAGAAGTGTTACAGCTGGCAGCACAGAGAAGGAAAAAAAAGTTTCTCCAAGCAATGGCAAAACTTTACTTTTAAGCAGTTAATTTTTTTTAACTTTTATTTTTTAAACAAACAATGGGCTAAAAATAAACAGTATTAAAAGGTTAAGTTTATATAATACATATGTACACATTTAGTGGTGTTTTCTTTTCAGACAAAATACTGAAACAATATTAGTTTAAAAACAAACTATACATTAGACTTCATAACAATAGCTTAAATTTATAATTTCTTCAAATGGAAGAGATTCACATATCAGATAACAAACTAGCAATCTAGTTTTCTAATTAAATCTACTTTGAGGCTAAATTTTGTAATAAAAAGCTAATTTAAAATATGTAAAAGTAGCTAGCCTATGTACAGCAAGTTTTTGTGTCTTAATAAATATATTTCTAGGAGTCAGTATATATTTAATACTCTTCTTCCTTAAGAAAATAGAAGTTTAGGTCAAGTGTTAAGCTTTTATCACTTTGACACTGTCCTTATCTCACAATGTAGGAATTTAGAAAGGACGCTAACAGTTTTACAAACATAAATAAAGCCTTAGTCACACTAAATTAAAAAAAAATGATTTAGGGATATCTTAGCATAATAAAGTGACTTCCTCATATAAATAGTTTGAGAGGGTACTTAAGTTTTTCACCCAAATTGTGATATACAAAAAGGTTATTATCAAGCAACCTACATGTCAATAAAGC